TTCTATATATAAGCACACAAATGTGGTTGTCCCTCACCAATGAGGGACAAAGTGCAAGACAAAAGTTCACTTCTTCAAATTTTTAATTTCCCTCCATTTTATTTCCCTCCATTTCCAATTCACACTTCTTCTACTTTAAAGCCCAATGGCTTAAAGTCCAACATCATCTTCGCATTCGCATGAACAAGATTCCCCACCAAGTCTAACATAAAACCAAAACAAGCTCAAACCTGGATTATCACCACATGCCTCATAGCGTTACACTTCTACCAGCCTGAAGGAGGTGACGTCCAGCTAACTTTTGTGTATTTAACTCGAGGAATGTAAGCGTCCATGTTTGATTGTATTGTGTCTCTTCCACACCTCTCCCGTGAGAATAGAAGGCAGTGCACAAAATAGGGGCTTCAACCACACATGAAGCTTGTCGAAGGTGACAACCTGTGAGATCAATTCTCAATTACAACAAAACCTGAAACATTCTAATTGTCACAGATGTTCACTATTATATTCCTATTACAATTTGCAAAGTTAGTACAAATAAAACTATAGAAGGGAAGCCTTGGAGCAACGGTAAATTTGTCTCCGTGTGACCTATAGGTCACGGGTTCGAGCTGCAGAAGTAGTCATTAATGCTTGCATTAGGTTTGGTTGTCTACATCACGCCCCTTGGAGTGCGACATTTTCTCAGACCGTGCGTGAATGCAGGATACTTTGTGCACCAAGCTGCCCTTTTTAGTAAAAATAAAACTACTATACCCTACAACTCTTGTGGACAAGAAGTTTCATTTTCACTTTTATAAACATCACTGACTGTCTCCGGTGGCGTTTCATAACCAGGATTTTTTTCATATTCAGCATGCACGCAGAGGTTTACTGCAAGTTCTTTTCTAGAGTCTAATATTTCCTCAGGTTGAAAGGTGTTTACATTTTTTTACCCATCATTAACAACTCAACATATTAGATGAAGAATGTGCCATAATCAGTAAAAAAAACAAAAAGATTGAGAATTCAATTAAAACAATATCTTTAACAAGAAGAGTGTAAAAGTGCATATGAATTATTAAAAAAAACAAACAACACTCACGATCCACTTTGTCTTGATGCTCTTTGCCACTGAATATCAAATATGTTGTATGCATTTATAAATAACTGACGATGTGTTTCAAACAACGAAAACTCAAGCAGGTTGGAAATAATGCATGCATATATCTCAATGTGTTTTAATCTAACATCATACGATTTTCCATGCACGGAATCATACACATCTATGTTTTCCCATTCAAGTCCAATACTCTTAAAAGGTAACATCATGTCATTCCATATCTCCGACCCCCCACCCCCTCTAGTAAACAGTTTATGTTCACCATACTACAATTCATATAAAGCATCTTCGTTGAAATTATAATATACCAAAAATATATAGTTACCAATTTAAAAAAATATTTATCATAAACTACATCTATTGTCATATACCAAAATGGATGGTTACGAGGGTGGTAGCACTCTTTCTTCTCAAATAATAATAGGTAGTTTCAATATGCTTCATAATCAAAGCAACAAAAAAAAATGCATCAACACAAATACCTAAAAAATACAAAAAGAAGAAGAAAGGAAATGTCTTATAAATTCGAAATCATATCATCAAGCGGATAGTTACTATTCAAAAGCTCTAGGAAGAATATTTTACTAAACTTTGAAGCATACAATTTATACGAATTTTTGCTCATATCGTTGTTATTAGCATAAATATCATTTTGCCTAAAAATAAAACACAAAAATTAAAATAACATCAAATATTTGAATGATAAGTGCGCTAAAATACTGATTTGTGACCTTTCCTCTTCTCCTTGCCTAACCAATCAATGGATTTCTTCAGCAAGTTTTCATTATCTTTGACATAACAAAATGCATATTTTCGGGTATATGCTGAATTTACATTGTCCATATACTCAATGTTCTCATTGTTCACCACCACCCTTTTTTTCATCCGCGTAACATAGAATGCAATTGCCAACCAAACTTTTAATTCCTTGTTTTTCTACCAAGCTCTTCTTCAATATAAGTTACTTTATTTACAATTGTATCAATATTGTTTTCATCACCAATATGTTCTTAAATGTCCATGGAAAAATCTTCATCGAAGCTTCCTTGTGTAGTCTGTATTGGGAAAATTCAAGTTAGTATATTGAATTTATTATGTAATGATATGTCATGACACGTGGATCGGTAAAAGAATGACAGCTGGAAGAGAATAGTTAAAGAGGCACGAGTTTTAACAGACACAAGCGAAGATATAAGAAAAACAGAAGGGATGGGTGCTCGAACCTCTTGATAATTTGGAAAAGCATCGGAGGAATGAACCTAGATAGCAAAAAAGGATAGATACGTATTATTGGTAGTTAATGAGCATTAATTACGGAAAACGTTATAGAATCTGTATTGAACAGTTACGATTGCCAATTATAACGTTATATTAAATATCATTAATTGCCCATAATAACTCCATTATGGGAGGAAAGAAACGTATTACTTAAAAATAGCTATAAAAGGTGAGGAATAAACATTTGTGAGGACATGAAATACTATTGGAATACACTTATTTAATTTGCTTTCTATCTTGCAATTGTTCGTATCAATTATTCTTATTTTTATTTGATTATCAGTAACCCGAGTTCTTCTAATAGCAAGCTTTGATCGAAATTCTTATTTTTTTGGTTAAACATAGTCAATGGAGTAAGAAGAGCAAATGAAGGACCATCCAAATCAATATCACCTCTCTTCCTTTTCATTTAATAGTGTTTTGTTCCTTGTTCTTCTGCAGTATCTTCATTTTTATCTGCAAGCAAAAATATGTATACATTATCAATTAAAAACTATCTTAATGTGAACTACAATAACTGAATCTTCAGGACACGATGTCCTGAAGTTTGAACTGCAAGAACTAAACTTCAGAATACTCGGTTATTATAATTCACATTAAGGAAGTCTTTAGTGGCTAAAGTATACATATTTTTGCTCGCACATCAAAATAAAGATGTTGTAGAAGAACAAAGAACAAAACACTATTAGGGCTCGTTTGGTACGAGGGACAAAGAATAATTAACCCCGGGACTAAATTTAAGAAGAGTTTATCCCATGTTTGGTTGGGAGAAAAGTGCGGTATAATTAATCCCGGGATTAATTATCCAGGGATTGTAGTATTTTTTTATCCCCATAGAAAGATGAAATAACTAATCCCGAAATAATTAGTCCTGGGATAATATCTTTCCAACCAAATGACCCCTTATAGGATAAGGAAGAGGGGTGATTTGGTTGTGATGGTCATTCATTTGCTCTTCTTACTCGATCGACTACACAAGGCAGCGTCGATGAAGGTTCTTCCGTGGATATTGAAGAACATATCAGTGGTGAAGAATATATTGATACAAATGTAAATAAAGTAGCTTATGTTGAAGAAGAGTTTGTTAGAGAAAAAAGGAATAAGATATGACTACTAAAAAATCAGGTTTTAGCGACCGACAAATTCTGTAGCTAAACAGAAAAATCCATCGCTAATCTCAGTTCGCAACGGATTAGCAACGGATTATCAAGAAATTCTGCTAGCTACGAGCGATTTAGCGACAGATTAGCGACGACATTCGCAGCTAATTCTAGTTTTTTTTGTAGTAGCTTTGTTGGCAATTACAGTCTTCGTTTAGACTGACGATAAAGATGGTTGTGTTGAACAATGAGATTACTGTGTATATGGTCGGGTTAAAATCGACATATACCCGTAAATGTGTGCTTCATTATGTCAAAGACGATGAAACTTTGTTGAATAAATTCATTGACCGGTTAGGCAAGGAGAAGATGAAGGTTGCAAGAAAGTATAAGTTTATTCAGTATGTTTAGCGTATTTTTTTTTATTTTTTTTTTTTTGGAGATCGTTTACCAGCCCTGAACTCGTGACCTAGTAGCTTGGAGAGAACTCCCCAACCACTATCAACAAAGATTGGTAAATTTAACATGACTTTTCATTCAGCGAGAAATTGATATTTATGCTAATAATAATCATGTTAGCAAGAATCCATACAAATTGTACGCTTCAAAAATCAATAGTAAAATATTCTTCTTGGAGCTTTCAAACAGTGGCTATGCGCTTGATGATAATGTTTCATAATTTACGAGACAATTCTTTTCTTCTTCTTTTTGTGTTTTTAGTATTTGTGCTGATGCAATTTCTTTTTCTTTGTTTGTGAAGCATATTGACATTGCCTCTTATTATTCGAGGAAGAAACGTTACCACCCTCGTAACCATCCATTTCGATGCACGACAATAGATAAAGTGTTTAATAACTATATGTTTCTGGTATATTAAAATCTCAATTAAAATACGTCACATGACTTCTAGTCCAGTGGATATCAATAGTAATTACACCGTACGTGTGGGGAGGAAATTGGGGATGTGGAATAGCATGAATGATAAAATCATTTTCCATGTCGACTAACTTCAAAATCACTGATGATGCGACACATTTTCTTTTAGGAGTATTGGACTTGAATGAGAAAAAAATAAATATGTATGACTCCGCACATAGCGAACCGTATGAGGCTAGATTAAAACACATTGAGATGTAAGCGCGCATTATTCCCAATCGCTATATAGAACACATTGTTGGTCATTTAGAAATGTATACAATTGATTTGATATTCAATGGTAAAGAGCACCAAAGACAAAGTGGACTGTAATTGTTGTCATTTGTTTTTTTATAATTCATACGCACTTTTACCACCTTCTTGTTAAAGTTATTGTTTTAATTGAGTTCCCAATCTCATTTTAGGATTCATTATGGCACTTCCCTCTTCAAATATGTTGAGATGTTGATGATAAGAAAAAATTTGAATACCTTTCAACAGCAAACCTCTGGGCGCATACTGAGTGCAAAAGAAGTTTTGGTGATGAAACGCCACCAGAGAAAGTCGGTGACGATTATGAAAGTGAAAATGAAACTTCTTGCCCATTGGAGCTGTAGTGTAGTAGTTCATTTCTACTAACTTTTCAAATTGTAATAGTACACTAGAGAACATCAGAGACAATTAGAATGTTGCAGAAAGTCGCTCAACAATTTCATGCCTTCTACTAAACTCACAATCAGATTGCAGATTTTGCTCATTTTTTAGAGCATTTATAATTGTTGCACCCTCGTATTCATAGACAATTTAGATCATTTAGATCTTTTATTATATAAACATGCTTTTTCATTTTTTTTTTGGCACAGATCCTGGGAACTCTCTTAGCTCAACAAGGAGATGGATAAACCCAAACATGCATACACAGATGCATATCAAGGTGGTTGGAGAAGAGAATTGAACAAAATTTATTTCAATCAAGTTGCAGGGAAAACTGGAAGTCTACCCATGTCATCTGCCAGACTTTAGTGAAGATTGCTTCGAATGAGACTTGAAACCATGAGGCAATTTTTAAAGAACAGATTAATTTAGATGTTGCTCCATGTCGTCAATACACCTATAACCACAGGTAATTAACATTAAATACTCTACTTGGCTCTTCATTGCACATTTAGAGTAATATAGGAAGATAAACAGCTTTACCTGTCAGCAAATTTCTTTTCTTGTTAACATATACGATTCCCAACTCGGTAGCTTTTGTATGTGAAATGCATAGTTTTCAATCTGTAGTCAAATGTTCATTAGGAAGTAGTATTGGGATAAGCTGTAGATATACACAGAGAACTGAGATTCCATCATATGCAAATAGAAACATCACTACTTCTAAGACACATTGTCAATAACTTAAAGAGATGTTCTAAAACTATAAGTAGATGCTAAACTGACATGCCAGCATCATGACTATAGCTCCTCCCAGATTAAGCTTTACCTATACCAACAGGTCAAAGTAAAGTATACTTGAAAGCTACCTTTTGGGGAGGGTTCGTAAGTATGATCTTAGTAGAAACAGGGTTCTATCCAAATCCATCTGGTAAAGAGATAGAGTAAGTATATCACCACCATCTTTTGAAAATTTCTCCACTGTTTCTTCCTGAAGGATAAAGATAGAGTAACATCAGAAATACCATGAAAACACACCCATATGTGTAACATAACTAAAGCATAAATTACATTTGCAATATATGGCTGATATACCAGAAGAGATAGATGGAATTTTCATGATAATTTTATCAAACATAAATTGGTATGTCAGAGAAGTTTTTCATTCCACTTCATGGAATATCATAATCAACAGCTTTTGTACACCATATACGGTTAAGTTAAATACAAATTATAATTCAGTAAGTAGTTACAATCATTAAATTCTTTATTTAGATGTGAGCACACAGCTTTTTCATTAGAATTTTTGAAATAGTAGAAAGTTTCAAACCTTTGCAACAAAGGGCTTGGCCTAATAGTCAATAAAGTGGGTGAAAACATAGGAGACCAGGGTTCAAATCCAGCAAAGACAACAGAAAACAATAGGTGATTTCTTCTCATTTGAGCAGAGTTATTCAACAGTTGTGCTTGTGGGAGGTACCAAGTAACCAATAAAATAGTCGAAGTTCGCACAAGCTGCCCCAAACACCACAGTTATCAAAAAATAGTTTCAAATCTAACCTTCAGTTTTGGTAGCAAGGTGAATGATGATTATGTGATTTACCAAATCCAACTAACTTGGTAATGGGTTGAACAAACGCTCTATAAATATTTGGAAAAGGCAGAGATGTTTTAAAATAATTAAATAAAGTTGAAGCGCAAGAGCATTTTATTATTTGCAAGTCAGGAGCCAAACTTTGCTTAAGATAGGAATGGACAAGTTCTGTATATGTCCACTTTTAGGAGCATCGCATTGTCAATGCAGTTACTTGACAGAGACACAACCTTAGAGGACTGAACTTTTACTAACTAATTACATTTAGGAATTTATACTATGTCCTTGATTGTTTAAGATTAACAAACTTTGCATGTTTAAGTATGCCAGGTGGGACCAACATCTCCAAAAGCACTCTTATGGTCGAGCTCTGGCACATCCAAATAAGTGCTTACTTTGCAGATAAGGAGAAGGCGCTTCAGTTTAACATCACCAGCATCGTATTGTGTGCTGGGAATTTTTAAACCTCCTGTCAATGTTACTCAGGCTCTTCGTTTGCCTTGACAAACATGTGTCAATGGGTATGATACAGGTATCTCCTGAATACACTAAACACTTGATTTGTGGATTAGGCGCACGTAACGGGTTCGAACCCTGGCGCAGAAGGGTAGAGGGGTGGGCCATTATCCACCGAATTTCGAACCATACACCATTGTCCCTCAGGGATTTACTGGTTATATTTTTTTTTTTAAAAAGATCTCACCACTTTTGGACCAAGTTACCAACAGTTTTTTTTTTTCGGGTTTTTTTAACCCCTTTGAGGAGCTCTCACTTTGCTCCCTCGGTGACTCCAACCTGCAACCTTAGGGTTGGGGGTGGAGGGTGCTTACCACTTGAGCAACCCTCTCTTGTACTAACTTTTGCTGGCATATTCTTCATAAACAAAGATATTTTCTGAGGAATACTCCTAATATTGTGCTATGAAAAAGGAAAACCAACAATTTTGTATATAAATTGAGTCAAAGCACTACTTTGCAGGGAGCAGAGAGAGAGAATGCAAATGGAGAGCAAAAGAATTCCATTGAACTCATGCTCCTTTAGGAATGTAATAGCAAACACTTAACCCAATAGCAATCAAAGTGCACACAAATGCTCTAAAAAGCTGTCGGGCATTAGCTAAATCTTGGCTACTGATAATATATTTGGACAAATAATTGGAAGTTGAGAGTATCTTGAACAGAAAGCTTTTTAACAGTCCTTTCTAAGTGTACTACCACAACAGGACATTAGCATGTCCACAAAGATTCAATCTCTTTGATTCAAAATGAGCAACTCCAGTTGAGTCCTACCAGAGTCTCGTAAAAGAAAAAGTTTGTTTACTGCAGTATACTATAGTCCCGATAAACACCCTATTGAAATTATGAGAACAATCAATTATTTCCAACTAGCAGAGCCATACCACCACAAACGCCAGTATTTTTAACATGAAATAACAGGAGAGGAATTTTAATAGAAATCAAGCGAAAGACGATGTTCAAAGAAAAAACAACAAATCTCTCAGGTATAGATCTCAAAGGCATAAATATACATAATGTGCATACCATCAATTGAATCTGTTCTCCGGATCTCTGAATTGAAGCAGCCTCCAATTGAAGAGTTTTAGAGGCAGTGCTTTTTCTTCCTCAGAAAGATTGAAGCTTTCTGGAGTAGAACAAACGTTTAAAGCACACTACAGCTCACCAACTCAGGGGCATGATGTGTTAAACAATAAAAAAAAAATATTAAGGCAAACAAACAGAAATAGCGGCTGACAATCGGTGCTTTTTCAATCCCTCCATCATATAGTGGATTCATGCTCACTATGGGAAAGGGAGAGCAATATGGGAGGCCAACACTAATCAAGCTTCTTGGATGGTACAGAAATTTTCAAAGCAAATAAGTACATTGAGGAAGCTGGGATCACTTTCACTGAGATGCAAAACATGGCAGAATTTCCTATCAAGAAAATATACCAGAAGATGCTAGGAACATTCACAAAAGTCAGTTGGAGAAGGCTTGTTTGCAATAACTATGGCTCGCCAAAGTGGTTGTTCATTGTAAGATTGGTGGCACATGGGAGGCTATACACCAAGGACAGACTACATAAATGGGGAATTCTTACTCATCAAACATGTCCCTTGTGTGGTATTGCACAGCAGAGTATATCCCATTTGTTCTTCAAATGTGATGTTGTCTATCGGAAACAGCCTCTCTGCCTTTATAGGGTAGGGGTAAGGCTGCGTACACACTACCCTCCCCAAACCTCACGTATGGGATTAAGTTGGGTTTATTGTTGTTGTTGTTCTTCTTCTTCAAATGTGATGTTGCAGCTGAGATATGGGAGAGACTACTCAGATGACAAGGACTGAATAAACAAGCACTAGAGTAGGAGGCTGAACTTGGCTGGGCTATGACACATTGCAAGGGAAGGATGCCAAAGCTGAGATATTCAGAGGCTGGTGGGATTTATTATGTGTGGCAAGAAAGGAACAACAGAGTGTTCGCCGCTATGACCAGACCTGCTGCAGCGATCGTGAGGCTAATCATCTAGGAGTTACACTATAGAGGAAGTAGGAAACCAAAACTAGCTCGGAGACTAAAGAATTGAATTTTTACCCTTGACAACTGGGATTGGAGTGGTAGTTAGAGTAAGTAGGAGGAGTTGTGCACTAGCTGAACTTTTAGGCTAACTAAAATGGAGGATCTGATGTTAGGTAGCTAGAAGAGTGGAGACTGCTACAACACTGGGGACGCAATGTCCAGTGATGTAGGGTCTATTTTCTTTTGTTAGCTGTAAATATTCTCATTGGTAATAAAATGTTTTAATTACCAAAAAAAAAGATACAAGGAAAACAACCATCCTGACTACTTTACATTTTCATTTTTACACCAAAACGCTAAGAGAGCTAAACATCTATAGGGTACAGATATTTTCCTTTTTCCCTTCAAAGTATCTTGATATCTCTCCTTCCACAGTCCACCATATAGTCGTCGGTATAGCGTTCCCCAACTTTTTATCGTCTTTATGTAGTCTTCTTTTACTCCAACAAAGTAGCAGCTCTTTAGGAGATTCTGTCATGCACCATTTAACTTCAAACAAATTCAAAAACATGTGTCAAATCTGATTTGTGATTCTGCAGTGCGTCAAATTTGGGCAAAAGTTAAAATGGGTTCGGTCAATAAATGGGTCTGACCGAACCACCAAAAATCTACTTGGGCTAAGAAGGCTTGGATCCAGATGGGCTAAAGAATGGGTCGTAGCCCAACCCACTCAACTTGACCCAAGAGAAATTGCATAAGCTAAAACCCTGAAGTCACCATTTTGAGGTGAGAGGAAAAGTGACAGGAGATGGGAAAACGACATCACATGGGCAAAAACCTTAAAAGATTACAAGCAACTCCTCTTATGAATGAACTGGTGCTTTGGAAGTTCTTCAAACAAAAGGTATTTAGATTTTTTTTTGTTCTTTTGTATGTCAACAAGTGAAAGCACAAATATAAACACATACATGGAGAATACAATTAAATCTTTCATGACCAGTTGATGAAAGACTCTAAACGATCAAACAAGAATAACGATTATCTTGTTCCAACATTGATGAAAGTCTTTCAAAGTTTTAGACCTCCATGCTCAATGAACTTGAACCGAGTAAACACAAGATCAAAATATACTTTTGCACAGAAATTTCAGAACTGCTCCAATCGGGTAATATATGATGTAGTCCTAAAAAGAACTAAGACAAAAAATTAATAAATGAATCCTTACATACAGGTCATCTTTGACTACTGTTCACTACCAATAGGAACACCGATGACAAAATTCTTACCACACTGCTCACTAACAGCATTCAAAATGTATGCCAGTGAGACCAAGAGAAAGGCACAAAATTCACATGAGTTAAATATTTGCCCATGTCAGCTTGTTTGCATTATGCATTCTGCATTCTCTCACTATTCTCCATTATGTAATCTTGTCAAGAAGAAATATATTAAGAACAGGATCACACTGCTTGATAATAAAAAGACGCACCTGAATTAACAGCATTCGCAGAAAATGCAACTTCGAGCTCAGCCTTTCCAATGCCCAGGAAACACGAAATCGCACAACTGTACACAAATGATCAAATAGGTATCTAATTTTCTCATCAGCCATCAATTCTAAAACTTGAATTTCCCCATCCATCTTTCCATCATAGCAGAAAGAGTAAAATAGCACTAAAATCCACCTCAAACTGCTACAATAAATCCTCTTCTCACTAGACCACAGTAGAAGGGGAGCCTTAGCGTAACTGGTAAAGTTGTTGTCATGTGACCAGGAGGTCACGGGTTCAAGCCGTGGAAACAACCTCTTGCATAGGTAACATTGCGTACAATAGACCCTTGTGGTCCGGCCCTTCCCCGGACTCCGCGCATAGCGGGAGCTTAGTGTACCGGTCTGCCTTTTTTTTCACCAGACCACTGAAGCTGGGAATGTGCTGGAGTCAACTAAAAACAATGCCAGGAAAAATTAGGGCAAAGAATTGGCTAAGTCAAATAAATGGTAGCTAATAAAAGTATTGATTAGATAGCTTACGATGAGATTGGATTCTCCTTAAAAAGAATGAAAAGAGTATAAATGCCCAACCAGCAAGAAGACACTTGCATGCCAATATCAGACTTTGACCTTTCTGGGGAATAACAGGGTACAGAATCGATCTGCAGTTTGCATTAGTATAAAACGTTAACATAGCAGGCCAAGCTTTGAGAAAAGCTCTATGCATATTGGACTTCCAAAATTAAGCGACGTACATTGGACAATGAAAAGAAATTCTACCATACTAATATCAAAAGCAGCAAGACAAAAACGGACCACTTTCTTTCATAATTTGGTGATACAGCAAGACAAAAGTGGACCACTTTCTTTCATAATTTGGTGATACAGTAGCGCAGTAATACTTCACACGATCAAAATACTAGGAGGCTATAATTCATACTCATATAGCTCTTTGTTTTGTTCATCTAAGATTCTTAATGTTTCGTATATCAATCTTCGCTGTGGGTGAGAATAGTCACCAGCAGCAAATACGTTTTTCTTCCGTTCCACCTCAATCCAACTGCAACCAACTGGCTTTTTAAGATCTCTCGTTTTCATAGACTTCCTTATCTCTAGGACCTCATCCCATCTTGCATCTGCAGCATACAGATTTGACATGACTATATAATTCCCAATATCAGTAGCATTGACTTGAAGCAGGTGACCTGCCACAGTACGGCCTATATCAACCTCCTGATGGGTTTTACAGGCACCCAGAAGTGTTCCCCATATATTGGCGTTGGCTTTAAAGGGCATCCGGGTCACAAAGGAGAATGCATCTTTAATTCTGCCTCCACGTGCAAGTAGATCCACCACACACGCATAATGCTCCATGCTAGGTTTGATTTGATGCGTCTTTTCCATTGAATCAAAGATCTTTAACCCTTCATCCACAAGGCCAGCATGACTACAAGCAGATAGCACTGTAGTTATTATAACATGATCTGGTTTGAAGTCCAGCTCAAGCATATGATAGAATATCCCAAGTGCTTCTTCTCCCATTCCATGCATAGCATACCCTCCAACCATTGCTGTAAACATAACAAGATCTTTGGCAGGAGATGATTGGAAAAGCTTGTATGCATATCCTAGAGTAGCACATTTCGAATATACATCTATGAGAGCTCCAATCAGATAAACGTCATCAAGGAAAGACCTAATCACATATGCATGACACTGCTTCAGCAGGTTGCTTGAGGCCATTTGAGCGCAAACAGGAAGGAGGCTCAAAATGGTCATGGCATCGGGCCTCATTTTGTGATGCTGTAACTCAGTGAACAGACTCACTGCTTGATCAGGACAATCATTTTCAGCATAAGCTCTAACCATCAGATTCCACGTGGTAAGATCCCTCTCGGTCATCCTCTTGAATATACCATGTGCATCTTCATGCAAACCATAATTCACAAACCCTGATATCATCGAGTTGCACGTGACTACATTCTTGTTTCCTGATAAACTCTCAAATATTCTGTTAGCATAGTTCAAATTGCAACACTTTGCATATGCATCAAGTAAGGCATTAGCGAGAGTAGGTTCAGTATCACTTAGCATGATACCAGATCTAACTGAAAAACCATGTGCTTCTTTGACCTTATCCACTCTGGAAATATTAGCAAAATAGCGCACCGCAGCCAATAATGTGATGGAGTCAGCTTCCATCCCCTCTACAAACATCCCCTTTAACAAGTTAATAAATTCTTCGTGAAGTTGGGTTTCTGCTAAGGCATCAAGCATAGTGTTCCATGATATCACGTCTTTGTTAGAAGTCAACGAAAATGTGTGACACGCCTCTTTGATGTTTCCACATTTTGCATAAAAGCTTATAAGGGCATTAATCACAGAGGTATCTTGATGGAGGAAACAGTGACGAATTACATAGCCATGGATCTGCTTCCCAATCAACATGTTATTGAGCTGTGGACATGCAGGAAGAATGCTCACAAGAGTAACAGAGTCTGGTTCACTCATCTCCTCTTTAGTGAATTCACGGAAAATATCCAGTGTCTTCAACCATTCACCATTAACTGCATATCCAGCAATTATTGAGTTCCAAGATACCAGATCTTTACTTTTCATATTCCGGAACAAAGTCTCTGCTCCTTCAAAATTTCCAACCCTCAAGTAGCAGCTCAAAAGAGCATTGATGACGGTAACTTCTGATAGCAGCTCAGTCCGTCGAAAAACATAACAATGTATTTGCCTTCCCAAGTGGTAACCAGCTATCCCTCCTAAGCTAGGACAGATAGGAAGAATATTTGCAATAGTTGCATAATTAGGTAGAATGAAAGCTTTCAACATCAACCTGAACAATTCAAAAGCCCTATCCGTAAGCTTATTCTCGATGAAACCTGCAATCATTGCATTCCATGAAACAACATCTTTGTCAGAAATTCCATGAAAAGTAGCAGCTGCATCTGAAATATTCCCGGATTTTGCATACATGGATAAGAAAGCATTTCCTACCAGTGTTTTACAATCCAATCCGTATTTTATCGCATAACAATGAACGCTTTTTCCAGCACCCAAAGCTCCAGAGCGGGCAAGCACAGGAATAACAATAGCAAGAGTGACAGAACTTGGCTTAGGATAATGGGCTCTGTGCATTGAATTGAACAGCCTTGTCATCTCTGTTTCATGAAACCGCGAACCAGTAAATCCAGACAACACAATATTCCATGTCACTGTGTCACTGTATTTAATCTGGCTGAAAAGCTTTTGACATTCATCAAGATCTTTACATTTAGCATACATATTAAGCAAAGCTTTTGTAACAAATTGACAAGAATGATGGCCTAACTTAATGACAGAACTATGCAGAGCTTTCCCCAATATTCTATCTGATATGGCAGCACAAGATTTCAGAACATTTGCCAAGACTTGGTAGTCAGCAACTGTTGGATTTTGTATTTTTTGGATAATGCTAGATACTACTTCATTCTTCATGCTAAAAAATTCCAGTAGTAATTCTTTAGTCAATGCATATCGACTTTCATAATCCAAAGCATACTTTCATTCTTCACGGAATTACTGAATTATTCCCAAGAATCAACTTTAACACTCCAACTGTACTTCCCCATAGGGCCTGTGACAATTCAATCAATTCAGCGACAAAATTGAAAGTCTTCAGGAAGCACAAAGCAAGATATAGTTTATATATAGAAGAAACCTAGTTTTGAGTTAGAGAGACTTGTCAGCAAAACTCTATGTTCATTAACCATGCTGAAATTGGGTTTGAAAGAATCAAGGAAACTAACCAAAAACCACCTTAAAGGATATATGTTGTATATATTATAAGTTGGTTATTAGATAAGTATTTGGGGTCCACATGAATCACAAATACTTCCTGTGTGTTTGTTGTATATATACTGATAATGCGCAATGAATTAACAAAGTGTTCTGCCAGTTTTTATCTTCTCAGATAGTTAATTCATGGTATCAGAGAAATCAACAATGTCTATAGAAAACAAAGCCAAGATCTCCTTGATTGATGCCAATTCTCCTTACTATGTTTCTCCATCCAACAACCCTAGAATGGTGTTAATTCCAAGCACCATGTATAGTGAGAACTACAATGGATGGGCTAGAGCAATGCGGAATGCATTGCGAGCCAAAAATAAGTTGATGTCCATAGATGGTTCACTGGAGAAGCCTGAAGAAAACACCCCAGAAGTTCATGCCTGGGAGAAATGCCATTCAATGTAAATAATCCGTTGACCATTGTTCTGTTGTGCCAAATGGTGAGGTCTTCCAGGTGAATGTGGTGGGAAGGGTTCATTTTGGGGCTCATATGGCACTTAGCAGTGTGTTGTTAGTTCCAAACTTTAAATGTAATTTTATTTCAATTCAGCAGTTGACAAGTGACACAAAGTGCATGGTGACATATTTCTAATCGTTTTGTTATCTAGGACCTCACCTCGAAGAAGCTGATTGGCCCGGGTAACTTGCGAGGAGGGGTTTACTATCTAAAGAATGGGGCTTTCGGAATAAGTGCAGTTTTAAAGAGTCTAAAGAAGGTGAACTTATGGCATGCAAGAATATGGCACATTTCATATGCAAATATGTCAAAGTTGTCTGAAATTCTTGGGCTACAAACTTGTAGCTTTGTTTCTAGGAGCTGTGCTATTTGTCACAGGGCTAAGCAAGCTCTTATTTCCTATCCAATAAGTTTCAATAAGGCAAGTGATCCTTTTGACCTAGTCCAAAGTGATTTATGGGGAAGATATAGAACACCTTTAACAATGGGTGCACATTACTTTCTTACTATATAGCAGCAGCAGCACTTGTCACAAAACTCGGAAGTTAAAAATTGAAGATGCAACTACTTATCGCCGTCTTGTTGGGAAATTAAATTATTTGATGAGAACAAGACCCGAAATTACATATTCTGCTCACATATTGAGTCAGCCGATGCAGGATCCACGTCAAGGTCATAGGGATGCAGCTATGCGAGTTTTGAGGTACTTGAAATCGAGTCTGGTTCAAGGCATACTACTTCCAGTTGATAACAAGTTCTTGAGGGGTTTTTGTGATTCATATTGGGCGTCATGTCCCATGAGTAGAAAATCAGTGACCGGTTATTTCATTAACTTGGGAAAAGCACCAGTGTCTTGGAAGACTATGAAACATTCCCCTGTGGCAAGGTCTGAGTATAGGGCGGTGGAAAATGCAACCAGAAAGATAATGTGGTTAAGAAGTTTGTCGGATTGTCTTGGTGAAACAGAGAACCACACAACAGGACAAAATTGTGACAATCAAGTTGGTCTTCACATAGCGATCAGAACGGCCACGCTATAAGGGACAAGATTCGAATTGGTGTCATCATTGTTGAAGACATAATTAAAAAAATAAAGTATGCTCTCTATAACAGCTCAAACCTTCACTTCAACATGGTACCAGAGAATGCAGAGGTCCTCGTTTTGAATCTCACCGCCACCCATTATTAAAGAATTTCACGTGATTGGCCCGTGAAAAAGAATCTGGCCCGCATGTGAGGGGTGCGTTGAAGACATAATCAAATGAATAAAAGTGAGTCTCTCTAAAAGTTTAAGCTTTTAGATGAGATGGTTCACACGCTTCAATAATCACTACAAGCTATGTTCCTACTAGAGAGCAAAAGGCAGATATCTTTATTGAGGCCAACAGCAAATTCAATGAATCTCAAGAAAGTTGGGCAAATTGGGGGTGTAATTAAAGGATATATGTTTTGTATATTATAGATAAGATTGAGATAGAGTACAAGTAGAGTAAGGATAAGTTTAGTTGGTTATTAAACAAGTATTTGGAGTCCAAATGAATAACAAAAATTGGCAATGAATTAAGGAAGTGTTCTGCCAATTTTAATCTTCTCAGATAGTTCTTCACCATTGTTCATCAACTATGGTCTTCGGTTAGTTTCCTTACTTCTGCAGGGAACCCAATTTCGGTAGAGAGAGAGAGAGTGAACTTACAGAGAACAGGAAGGAGTTCGCAGACCCCAGGGCGAAGCAGTGAAAGCTTCTGCGAAAGGGTGTGTTGGTAGGACGCCAATTTTCACATTTTGGATATTTAAGAAAATATTTTTCCTGTGAAGAGAAAAAAAAAAGTTCAAAACTCTTTATTAATCTTCTTCACTTTATTTTCATCCCCACCAACTCCTCACACTCCACCCACCCTACCCCTACCCCACCCAGCCCCTACCCCAACCACCCCTACCTTCCAACCCCACCACACCCACACACGCCCCAACTCGCCCAACCCCTACCCCCACACTACACACACACCCCCACTCCATCCAAAATAGAATTATGAGTACTTTCATTTTCATTTTAATAAAATAAGTTTTTTTTTATGTAAAAAAGTATTTTCTTTCATTTCAACAAAAAAAAAAATTTATTTTCACGATGTAGAAAAAATATTTTCTTTCATTTCAATAAAACTAGATTTAGTGTACGTGCATTGCACGTGTATTATGTGTTATGCACAAAAGGAGAGATTTTTAATTAGGTAGAATAAGAATAAGTATAATAGTAATCGATGATGCAACATATATTTAAATGGTAGACCGCCTAAAATAGTGTATATTAAATTGAATAAGAATGAATTTAGAGTAATAGCAATTGATGATGCCAAAAAAAGTTATTACATTGAAAAAATAGTTGTATTTAGCATGTGGACACTAAATTGAGTGTTACAACGAAGCTTGAATGTGGTGATGTTGTTGGAACCATAGGATAAATTGTTGCTTACCCTCTTGATATCATCCGTCGAACAATGCAGATGTTCGCCGTGAAGAATGTTGCTTCAGTTATTACTGGTAAGAGGAAGGCACCTCTAAAGTATGCATTTAGTAAAACAGTTCAGAATTTGTAAAAATAAATATAATTATATAATTGTAATATATGTAAAATTCATGTATAATGTGTATACTTAATTTGTGTATGCAATGCTTCATTTAGTTGGTGGAAAGAGATGCTTGCCGCACTTAGTGCTACGTACAGAGAAAGGGGATTGGACATGTAAAGAACTTATTTTTGCATTGTAGGATCACCGCCCAGCTGCTGGATATGCTTTCGTCTTTATTCATTATATCTTTTATTCTTGCATTAAATTTAAAATATGTATCCTACCAAAAAAAAAAAAATAGGTTAGGTAGGACACTTAAAAAGTATAAATATTTCCGAAGTAGTTGAAAGAATTTACCTCTTTATTGTCAAACGATTCACCTTTGATATCCTCAATCTTCACTTCCCGAGCGTTTTTTAGTTGTATACTTGGCAACAGACTTATATTTATGTTTTTTGCCTTCTTGTAGCCATGCCTACATATTGTGTAATTATTAAATAATAATAACCATATTTTACTAAGATTGCTTAAACTTAAAAAAAATCTAAGCAAATATTACCAGTTTTGGAGAGCTATTGCCTTTTCAAACTTTGGATTTATCATTATACTACTAACATATGTAGTGGATATTGAAAACTCCCTTCACAGATAAAAAAGATGTTAAATATAATAAAAAATTCAACAATTTACAAAAATACTAAAGTTCTTGATATTACCTCTGTATGCTGTTTTCCTAACATCACATGCTGCAACAACAGGTTTTTCATCAATCAATTTTTGTAGCCCTTGACCGTCTATCTCTGAGAAATCATTCCATAAGGTTACAGTCTTTCTATCAACCCTGAAATGTACAATTAAATATAATCATTAACATCTTAATTACGAAGAAACATTTAACATATTGAACTAAAACTTCCAACTTACATCTCGTTGATAAGCACTATCTCCCTTCGTTTCTTTGAACCTTCTCCCATAGAGGGTTTAACATCCACTAAAATTCCAACTATATCTAGAAAGAATATTAAATAGATATATGTATATTACCAAAATATTAATATGGCGAATAGAAGTATGATATTGTTTATATATTTAGTGAAAGATTATTGGATGAAATCTAAACAACTTACCAAAAATTATTCCATTGGTGCATTTTGATGCCTCATCGAATGAAATAAAATTATTTGAAAACCAATGGTTGAAAAGTGACTGTTGCTTTCTTCAACTAAAGTATTCTCCTTAAATCCAATCTCAAGCTCCTTGTGATTTGATTGGAAATTAGGATTAACACTATTGATGCGTCCGTTTATGATGTAACAGATCATGTTTTGCTGTAAATAATTTTGTTACTTCTCAATATAACCATTGAAAAGTGTAGCGTGAATTTTTGTTCCCTGTAAAAAGTTTCACTTTAAGCTAATCTGATGGTTGAAACTATAATATAAAAAGAGATGAAATAAAATTTTGATATAAAACAATAATTACCTCTTCATCAACTAATGTCACAATTTTTCGGGTGCCTTGATTTGTTTTATTGTTGAAATCTTTTGCTATTCTACTCCCAAATACTAAGACTCGTATTACCCAACATGAATCAGATACTCTTAAACTATTAATTGGGACACATTGGTACACAATTCCTTTTCGCTGTCCATTGCAGGTGTTCCTAAAATAAAGCATGCATAAGAGTTTTACAAGTTATCAAAGTGACTAATTCAATAATTGATTATTTTCATGATATAAGGAAGATTGTTTACCTAAACGGATGTAATTGTTGAAATATGAGTGATTCAAGCGTGGCAATTGTTGTTGGGTTTTTAAGCATTAAAATAGGCTTAAAAGAGGGTGAATGGGAAATGGAGGGAAAATGAAATATTTGAGTTTCATTTGAGATTCCCTCCTTGACAAAGGGACATTATCCCATATTGGAAGAGGAAGAGGTTTTTGATGGGTATATAAGCAATTGCTCTTCTTCTAGCTCTTAAAGAGTTGAGAAGAAGGCAAGCCTCGCGCCGTAGTCGTCGTTGCTCGCTCGGCGATTCGGATTCGGATTCGGATTCGGATTTGGATTTGGTCAAATGATCGATTGATTGATTAATTTTTTGGACCAAATTTATTTGTTAATGGTAAATATTAACAGAAATGTTATTAAATATCTATTTTAATAACAGAATATTAATATTAATATTAATATTAAATCCAACGGAATATTAAACGTTTTTCCGTTATCCGTTTTCCGTTTTTCGGTTGTGTAACTGAAAATTAACCTCCCTCTTGAATTCCCGGTTTATTGATGTGTAAATAGCCATTTATGTTATGGCATTTATGCTATGACCGTTTTGCATAAACAGTCATTCTGAAGAGTTGCACCTCTTCAGTTTTCAGCCCAACATTGGCTATATATACAAGTCCATTCTCTCAGATTTTCCATACGATTTTCTGAGTTCTCCTCCTTTATTCTGCATACTTTTAACTTCAAAGAAAGCAACAGTAAGTGTGATTTGCTAACGAACTTTGTGTTCGGTGAAACACTAGGGTTTGAAGTACCACTACACCAATGTGTAATTCGTTCTATCCTGGGAGGAAATAATCCATAACCTTGGGTACTAGGAGGGGATTAAATTCCTTAAGGAAACACTGTGAATTCAATGGGCTCGGATTAACTTTTGTTTCGTTTACATTTTTTGTTTATATATTATTTTACCTTTTCCAGAATTAGTTTACAAATACAGTTTAATAACAAGCTTAAGGAATTTAATATTTTCTGTATTTGTGTTATATTCACTGTTCTGGAAATTAAAACCTTTGTGGTTTTCTACCCCGCTGGAGATTAAAATCTACGTAATTTTAACGATTGTTTGTGTCATTCTTTTACAGAAATAACTAATGACAACGGGAACCAGGCTGTTCCGATGGTGACTGCCAATGCATCGACAAGCCGAACACCGGCGTTGGCGCCGCGGAGAAACCCGAAAAATTTTTCGGGATAGATTTCAAGCGGTGGCAGCAGAAGATGTTCTTCTACTTGACTACTTTAAGTCTACAGAAGTTCATTAAGGAAGATGTTCATGTTCTGCCCGATGAAACTCCAGAGAATGAACGCTTTCTAGTGATTGAGGCGTGGAAGCATTCTGATTTTCTGTGCAAGAATTACATTCTTAGCGGACTGGAGGACGATCTGTATAACGTCTACAGTGGTGTGGAGACGTCAAAAGAATTGTGGACTATGCTTGAAAAGAAATACAAAACTGAAGATGCCGGGTTGAAGAAATTCGTTGCCGCTAAGTTTTTGGACTACAAAATGGTAGATAGCAAGTCTGTTATTACCCAAGTCCAGGAATTGCAAGTGATTATTCATGATCTCCTTGCTGAAGGTATAAGTCGAATTAATACTAATGTTGAAAGTAGTACTTTTAGTATTTTTACTAATAGAATTTTCATTGAAGGTCTTGTTATCAATGAAGCATTCCAAGTAGTAGGGATGATTGAGAAGTTGCCTCCTTTGTGGAAGGACTTCAAAAACTACTTGAAACACAAACGCAAGGAGATGTCCCTTGAAGATCTCATTGTTCGGTTGAGAATCGAAGAGGACAACAAAGCTGCTGAAAAGAGAGGCCGTGGAAACTCAACAATAATGGAAGCAAACATTGTTGAGGATACTTCTCAAAATAAGAGAAAGAGGAAGTAGGCTTCTAGACCGAAAAGCTACCCAAGCAAGAAGCGGTTCAACGGAAATTGCTACAACTGTGCGAAAGCTGGACACAAATCTACAGATTGTCGTGCTCCAAAGAAAGACAAGAAGAAGGGTCAAGCAAATATGGTTGAAAAGCACGAAGATGTTGATGACTTGTGTGCTATGCTTTCTGAATGCAACCTGGTGGGAAATCCTAAAGAGTGGTGGATTGATTCTGGAGCCACTCGCCATGTTTGTGCTGTTAGGGAAGCCTTTGCTACATATGCTCATGTTGGACCCGAAGAGACGCTTTCTATGGGAAATGCTGCAACCGCCAAAATTGAAGGATGCGGGAAGATATTTTTGAAAATGACTTCTGGCAAGGTGGTGACTTTGAACAACGTCCTTCATATTTCCGAGATTAGGAAGAACTTAGTCTCTGCTGCACTTCTTGTTAAGAATGGTTTTAAGTGTGTTTTTATATCCGATAAGGTTGTAATAAGTAAGAACGAAATGTTGTAGGAAAAGGTTACCTCACTGAGGGCTTTTTCAAGCTGAATGTAATGGTT